CAAGCAAATGGAGGATGATGCCCTTCGAATCAGTTGGCTCCAGCCGGGGAGAAAAAAAGAAAGACGCGTAAAACTGTGCCCGCACGGCAGGCGCTTCCCAAGTTGGGCCGAATGGAGGCGCCGACCTTAGGCCCAGAGATTATGTTTTTCGTTTTCCAAGGCGCCTAACATTCTTGGTGTTTCCTTTGGCGCACTTTGCTTGGATGTTAGGACTTTAACTTTTTGCCAACTAATGGGTTTTCCATGAAGCCACAAAAAGTTAAACTTTAGCAGGGGAGCAGAAAGCAACCGAGTTTCCCAGCCATCTTGATACGTTTTCAGCTTTTCAGTTGGCTTAGTGGTTGGGTATCCCCATTTAACCCACTAAAATGGAAAGATAGTTAGCGGGGGATCTGGGAACAGCTCGCCAAATGATTACTTTTATGGTCATAACTTCATAACCCATTTGCCTTGGTTTTAAGTCCCGCGAGTCGTTCTAACCAGGGCTAGCCCTTTCGGTTGGTGGTTCGGATTGGCGGTTTGGGGATTGGACGCCCTGGTTCATGTAGGGGGTAAATGGGAAACTCCCCCCAAACCTCCAAACCACCAATGTAAACCAAGCTGGTGAAGTTGAAACCAGAGACAACCATGTAATAGCCTAGATGTAAATCCGGGTTTCTATTAGAGTCGCAACTGGATCAACTTTTTTTTGTTTAATGGCGAGCACAGCCGGATGTCCTTGGGTCTTCCTCATGTCAGGTGTTGGAGTTCGCGTGCACAAGTATAGTCTCAGAGGTATTGGTTGAGGATTTTGTTTTTGCTGCTGTTCTCTGTTCATTGTTGTTTGTGTTGAGATGTTGTTTGCTTGTTGTTTGTTTTCGCTACCATTATGCAGAAATCCTGAAGGATACCCAGAAAGCACAAGGTTAACGTTCACCTGACCGGTTTTTCACTCCCGGCTTTTTGGCTTTTAGCACGCCGGATGCCCAAGAAACACGAAGGACAGCGCCTGATTTGCTTCTTGAGGCCTATTGCCAGGCAACGGAGAGATTGGTTGGGGCTGATTTGAGGTCGGTTTAGTTGCTTTCGGGTTGGCTTTAAGGTTGGCTTTGGGTAACTTACCCAAACCCAAGTTGGAACATGACCTGACTCATGTTTCACTTGAGGTCGTTCTTAAAGAAAAGGGGCATCACGCAGAGGCCCAATAAGCGGACTACTCACCGATTGGTTCTTCACTTGTTAGAGACAGCAAGCCCAGCAAAGACAAGGATATGGGGTTGTATTGTTTTAGGGCACCCTCTTTGGGGCTGCTTTAAAGGGAAAGCAACAGAAGCAGCACATTTTAAGGTCAGACTACCATCTTGAGACAAACCCGTATGCTTTACCTGAACAACAGTTCGGTTCGGTCCGGACCAAGAAGTACAGCCGGCCAATTGGATACTGGAGGGTGGGGATGTTCTCATCGACCAGAACCGTCTCTCCAGTTACCCACAAAGGATGGTTTTGAACTCGTGCCAAAAGCGCACGTGTCTGTTTTGAGGTTGTGAGGTTAGCCCCCTTGGTTGTTTGGGAAAGATCGCGTAGGCCAGGAGGGGTCGTTGAGACATTATTTTGACGCAATTGCAGTTGGAGGTTTGGTCAAAATTGTGTTTGGTCTTTATGTTGCTTTTTTTGGATGGGAGGACGTGGGTAATTCACCCAATATCTCACAAGAAGCTGGGGACTTGCTATTTTTCTCACGTCCTCTCAAGAGACTTAGTTGCTTTCACTGTGCTTCACTGTCTGGTAGGTTCCAGAAGGCATGCATCACGTGACGTGTCAACAATGCACGCGGCACTCTGTGAGAGCTTACGCTTGGATTTTGCAGCAGGCTGTTGAGCAATATGTTTCCTGTTTCCCGTGGGAGCCCACCCAGCACCAATGAGAGCGAAGGGCCTGGTTGCTGTTGAGCATCCAGCTGATCAATGAAACCATCAAGTGCCGTTGCAATTACCCTTTTTCCTCTCATCTCCAGTGCAAATGTTGCTTGAGCTTTGTCCAGGCCTCCATTTACTAGTGAACATCCACACAGCAATGAGCAATACTGTGGATGGACGAAATTCTGCACCACTTACGAAACCCTGGAATGATGATTCCCCTGTAAATTCCAACCAACAACGGTCCATGGTTTCCAACTGGTGCGAATTGGATTGCGTTCATCCACAGTATGGGCAGAAAAGGGTGCGTCTCTCCTTCTGACTCCGCTATTCACCCTGGGGGTGGCATGTTCGCGGGCCGGGAGTGCCCAGGTGGCCGGCCACACGCGATGAAAGGCGCGGAAGGGAAGCCTGGTACGTTTCCAAACCTTTGTCTCTTAAACCCCAGGGAAAACTTGACTGCTGTTGGGTTGGATCTTTAGACTTTAACTTTTTGGGAAATCAAGGTGATTTCCACTAAACCCCCCAAAAGTTGAACTTTTCGCAGGGGGTCAACAGCAACCAAGAGAAGTAGCCACATGTTCACAAGGAGTGGTCCACTCAGCGCAACTCCGTGTGGCTAGGACATGCTAGGATCCGGTTCCCGAGTGGCACCCTGCGTAAGAAGTTTTGAATTCTAGCGGAGAAGTGTTGCGTGGAACCCCGTGCAGCCTACACAGCGGACTTCTCCGATGTTGGTACACAACGCTTCGCGATACGGACCGAGCGTCTCGGTTTATCCAGAGGCAATGTGCACCTGTTGGGGGGGGGTGTTGAAGGGTAGCCAGTTTCGCAGGCTCCTTATGTCACCTGTAAGCCCGGGTGCACAGGGAACCTGGGAGGGCTACGGAAGGAGCCTGAAAGTTTTTAGCACAAAGGGGATGTTTGTTCGGATGGCTTGCACAGGGAAGCCAAAACAAAAGGGCATCAGAGGTGTTGTTGAAATGGGCACGGAGTAGGAGCCCTTCTTATGCTTCCTCCCACAAAAACCAAGGGACAAGCCCCGATGTTCCACTTGGTCATTGGAGACCATGGCCTGGAGCATGCCACAGGTGAGCAGCTTGCGGGGAGCAGCGCGAAGACCGCGCTCTGACCCCGCCTGCAATGCTAGCCAGGGGTATCCATGACTTTCTTGTCCGGGATGAATGGTTGCGACTGGATGTTCCACGGATGTTACTCGCACAAACTACATGTTCAAATCTCTGAAAGCTAGGGTGTTTGCCCGGGTAAGCTCCGGAGTATGTGAGCAGCTCCAGTCGACAGTTCCGAACGGATTCCGGGGTTGCTGTTGGGATTCCACCTGGGTGAATCACTTCTGTGCAAGGACAGCAGTCCCCCACAACGGGGCGCGAGCAAGATAGGTGTGTCTGGGGTGGGTACGTGGGCATGGCTGGTTATCAAGGATTTCAACTTGAAGTAGTCCAGGCTGATTTGCTTGGGAGTGGTTTCTGGGCAGCAGGCATACAGACAGGTATTCAGATTAAAGGATCAGGGTTCACTGTATCAAACAACTGGCTTGTCGGCTTCCTGGCTTAGAAGCCATGAGAAACCATTGGTTGTTGGTATTTGCAGGGGGATCACCATTCCAGTTTGGTAGGTGCAAGATTTCGTCCATCCACAGTACATCACTTTAGCAAAATTTACGCCTTGGAGCGCCAAGACAAGGCATCTGTGGCCTGGCCATTTCGATTTAGCGCTACCGCTGCTAAGCAGCAAGCTGCTAGGGAGAGGCCAGCTAGCAGTTAGCAGGGCGAAAAAAGGCTGACATTGTTCGTACGGACTGTCCATCCATGTTGCTGCCATGCAGACGGAAACAGGGCGGGGGAGGGGGGGAGGGCGGGGGAGAGAGAGAGGGAGAAAGACAGAAGAGAGAGAGAGAGAGAGAGAGAGAGAGAGAGAGAGAGAGAGAGAGAGAGAGAGAGAGAGAGAGAGAAAGAGAGAGAGAGAGGGAGAGCGCGTGAAAGAGAGAAAGAAAGAGAAAGAGAGAGCGAGAGAGAGAGAGAGAGATAGAGAGAGAAAGAAAGAGAAAGAGAGATAGAGAAAGAGAGGGAGAGAGAGGGAGAGAGAGAGGGAGAGAGAAAGAGAGAAGGAGAGAGAAAGAGAGAGAGAGAGAGAAGGTGCAGCGGCAGCCTTTCCCCCACTGAAAATCGTGATTCGCACGGAGGGTTTCCTGGAAAATCGTGATTCGCACGGAAAATACTATTTTTTTCACAGCCGCGTTGCAGCACCGGATGAATCAAAGACGTGCAACCCAGAGGAAATAGTTGTCCATCAGGTCCCCCAAATCAGACGTGTCTTTTTTGAGGGTACCTTTTGGTGTTGAAGGAATTCCACTATTTTGGGGGTCCAAGTCCCTATTTTGACGCATACCAACAGATGATTTCGATACTGCACAACTGAACCTGAGGGCTACGACCGCAGTCGACCAGATGCGGTGTCCTCTCACGCCTTTTGACTTGTCAGCCTTGTCAGCCCACGGATGGCTCCAAACGGCCCCTTCAGTAGGGAAATAAGCCCACTCTGATAGTAAAGCCCTCCGGATGGATGCAAAGTTTACATTATGTACCCCAAGAGGATGTTCTGTTTTTTTTGTGTCCTTGAGGAAAGTGAGAAGGATCATCGCTTGCAATCACAAATTTATCTTTGTTAGGGTAGCGGAAACCGTTTTAGATGGCACAAATAGATACAAATAGAGTGCTGGCCCCACTTCGAAAGTGCTACGCTTCTACCTGGCTCAATGGGAGTGCTCGTCGACGTGAGACATTTCTGGAATGAGATGTGCGAGCAAGTGGTTTGGTTGATCGTCAGTGGGAGCCTTTGTCCTCATGGCTTCTGAAATAAAAAGCCGCAACCAGTCGTGGATGGTGCCACTTTAAAGGGGCCTCAAGCCGGTTTCTTCATTTCGGCCATGCCGACATGCTGAAGAAAGACACTCGGATGAACAAAAAAAAGCCAACGAGAAGCCACAAGGAAGCCGGACACCCGGACACCGGAAAGAAATTCGAACGCAAGACCAAACCGGACCAAGCAACGCAACAAAGGACACCTCTTCACATTGCTCCCGAGGGTCCCTGGATTTCCTTTTGGGCGGTCTCCCGCCCCCCCCACCAAGCGCTCATGCTGGAGCCGCAGCGCCATGCGCGAAGCTTCGCGCCCATGTGCGGGGCCCAAATTTCAAGGAGCGCCATGGTCTTGACTGCTGGGTTGGATCTTTAGACTTTCACTTTTTGGGAAATCAAGGGGTTTTCCACTCAACCCCCAAAAACTTAAACCTTTTCCAGGGGGGTGAACAGCAACCAAGCGGTGGAAGGACCGGTTCTTTGGGGTTGCCACTGATGGACGGGTCCTCCGCTAGTTGGCGGGTGGGCAATCCTGGCGATTGCAGGATTTGCTCCATCCACTATAGGGATCGGTGGTCATAAGACCCTGTTGAGCAGGGATTTCAGACAACTGTAAAGGATCGTGCTGGAATCACTTGGCAGCTGGGCTATCCATTTTTTGAGTTTTTATGCATGCCGATGGGTGCAGGAGTTGGTCCATCCGCAAAAATATCGGTCCTGAGACTCTTTTTGACCGGGAATTCCAACCACTGTAAAAGGTTTCGGTTACCATGTCAATCATCCGCAAGAAGACCATGGTGATCCTTCCGGAGCCTGGGAGGCAACTGGGCTTTTTTGTGTCAAGGCTGTCACCGATGGCTTCTTTCGTTTCTTTGAGAATATGTTTTTGTCGTTTTTTTCCTCCTGTTGGTTGTTGGGGGAATCTATCACTACTGGATATATGTCATGTTTTTCCAGTGAACTTAAGCAAATGGACACTGCAACCCCCCTGTATGAGGTTCTTTGGTGTGTGTGTGTGTGGTTCTTCCACTGCGTCCCCTTTTGCAAGATTGTCTGGGTGTGCGGTCAGCAAGCTTTTGTGCACATGTCTAACCCTACCTTCCTCATTCTCTTCCAGGATCCTTCTCTTCCACAGATTCGCCAATCCCCCAGAAAGATGGGAGGTTCCAAAGATAACGATGGGTGAAGAGAACGGGGAATCAACCTCTCGAACATGGGTTTATCATTGAGTCGGACTTCCTCAACAAGCTCCCAGAAAGGGTGTCTCGCTGTCCAAACTCAAACTGGGAAGGTTGTTGATGTTTTTTTTTTGGGGGGGGTGGGTTGACAGATGAATCCCCCTGGACCCTCAAACTACCCATCAAAAGTGGAATTCACCCCGTCCTTTGGGGCAATAACCCATGTCCCGGGGGAATTTTGAGGGTCCGGGCCCCTCTGAACGGCTTGCTTGAGACGCGACTTTGGGGCTTCCGGGGAGAAAGCCTAGGCCTAGCCCGCCATTGGTTAGCGTATCAACGCCTGGCACTCGGAGACCCGGAAGTAGCGCCAGCGCGGAGCCCGCTGGCCCCAGGGCCTAAGATCCCCCCGCTAGGTGCCCTTTCGGCACCCCTTTTTTGGTTGGGAGATCCGGTTGCCCTACAAAAACAGACTACGGAAAAAAAGGGGTGCCCTTAACTTATTCTAACCTCTCTACTGTTCCATGCGCTTCGACCGCAAACGAGCATCGTTTCTTGAGGGTTTTCACTTCAACACTCCGAAGCTACGAAAACCTCAAATCCTGGAGGACCAAAACTACCTCAGCTGCTGCCGCGTCAACGAAAGCCATGTGATTGCTTTCTTCTTCTGGTTCCTCTTTACCGAATCGTAAAAGGTTCGCACAACTATTTCAATCGAGACCCCTTGGTCAAGGTCCTGCCCACCTCAAAACAACTGAAACAAACTGGTCCATAGGATTCATCCTGCGACCTGTTGTCATGTGAGTTTCCTTGTCTAGGTCCTCCGAATCCTTTTCTTTGCTGTTTGGGAGTTGGTCAGCGTGTAGTGGATCCACAAGGCGATCGCCTTTCGTGTCCAGGCCCCGCTGGGGCAAGTTAGACCCCAGAAATCGAACTTGTGAAAGAAGAAGACCCTGGAACGGAACAACATAATATGACTGATGTTGCTTTCAAACGAAGCCACACGGGATGCAGCTTTTATCTGCAGACGAACGGCAAGTTAGAACCCCCCTCTGAATAAATCAGCTACTGAGTTACTGGGGCCTTCTTGGTGACAACTTTATTTGTTCAACTCCAAAGGGCCATCAGACAGAGATTCCCGTCGAGACATGGCGGGACCGTTGGCCTCCCATTCATTGTAAGGACCTTGCACCAGGGCGTGTGAGACCTTGCTCGAGCAGACACACGCAGACACACCTTATTGCTCATCGTGGGCCAGACGTACTGCCCATTGCTTCATGGTTGCGCAGGCAAGGCGGCTGCCTACTTCCTATTTCCAGGTTGTTTGGGCAAGAGGAAGTGGACTCCGGGGGGGAAGCAAAATCAGTTTCGCCCACTTCCTCTCAGCTGAGGCTGAAACTTGAAAGGGGTGTCTCTCACCACAAGGACCCTTCGTTTTGCCTGAAAGTCCTTTCAGGTTTTTATCTGTTTTGTCGTGCCTCCGCTGTGGGCTCTGACAAGTTTGTATTTTGGTGGTAGCTTCCCTCTACCACCAGTTAGAGGGACATTTTGAGGATGTGAATTGAATGAATGGACCAGGTCAGAACATGCTTAACCCCCCAGCTTTGCACCCTAACCTTCGGACCCATGCAACATGCGGAGCCAAGGCTCGTTTTGTTTTCTCCGTTTTTGTTTTTGTTTGGCCAGGCCAAATTACGCCGCCAGCTTCCACGAGTTTGGGCGCCAGGATCAGGAGGAGGACGCTCGCCGTGGCTTCGTCCTCTGAGCTTTGGGCTCCTTAAAAGATACGTGAAGGTTTCATGCAAGCGAACACCTTGGAAGTCACGAGGCTTGGGGTGACCTGTCTTCAAACAACAGGGCTCCTTAAAAGATATGTTTTGCCCATTTGAAACATGTCTTTTTCAACGCCAATATGCAGGGAAGCCACCACTGACAAGTTGCAATGTTCAGGTGTATAATGTAAGGATCCCTGTTAGTGTTGCGCCTTACGGCAGGTTTAGGGTGTAGCCTCCTGCTCATTGGAACCAGGGCTCGACTTCCCAACCGACCAAGGCAGAGGTCTCCAAACGGTTCCGGAAACACGACATGGTTAGATGGTGTTAGGTCCTCTTGTTGTCCTTTTCCAGAGGCCAAATGTCAACCCTTAGGGCTAGCTTCCCTTAGGGGTTTTTACCCCAGCTCCTTTGAAGGGACCTTTGTGGAGCATTCAGAGTTGTTTTCAGGCCGAAATCGAGGGAGAAGAAGGGACCTACCAACCACCCTGCCAACGGCCAAGGGTTGGAGGTGTGTCTTTTCCATTCTGCACCCAGGTGTCCTGCTTTCCAGAAAGCCAAGCCCAAAGAAATGTGTGCTTGTTGGAAAGAAGTATGGTGGAAGCTTGCAATCAACCCCTACCCCCTGGACCTTTGGAGTTGCTGCTATCTACATAGGAGACAGTGAATCTGACAGATTCTGAAATCATGCGCTGCCAAAACGCGAGACATGGCACCTTTTGTTCATGGCGCTTCCTTCACAACGCCGACAAGGTTTAGTGTTTGAAGGGGCCCTCCCCAAAGAAGGTCTTTTGTTGTTCAGGTTTGAGCGGCCTTGTGCTGCCCTTTAAAGGGGATGCAAAAGGGCCCTCGTGTTGCCAATCCACTAGAAGGCTCATTAAGCCCTCTCATGAGGAAAGGCAAGTATATTTGGTGAGGTTTTTTCTTGTTAGGTTGCAAGGCAGAAACGCCGATGTCAAGTGCGTTGTGTTTGGTGGTCTGGATTGTTCATCCTTCCCCCCTCCCCCCCCAAATGCTTTGCCCGAACCACCCCTTCCCCTGTTTCCGCACCCTTTGGGCTCTCTAAGTAAGACTCTGATACCTCTACATTAATGCCATATTCATGGTTGTTGTTGGGAAACATTTTACTTTTTTTCTTATTGTGGTTTAGTGGGAAATCCCCACTTCACTGCTAAAACTTAAGTTTTAGCTCCCCTTCCAACGTCAGCCGAGTCTGATACCTCTACATGAATGCCTTATTGGGGAGCTAGTAAGGGGGGGGTGTGATCCTCAAGGGTACCCTTCGCCCTTAGAAGGTTCCGCCAATGGCCGAAGCCTTCCAAGATCCGTGAGGGGGGTTCTTAGGAGGAGTTTGCCACGAGGGCTTTTATCAGAAGATCCAATTTCCTATTCTCACCCTCTCCGACCATATGTCCCCAAAAGGCGGCCTTGTTTGACCCTTAATGAGCCCCAACTGGGTTGAAGGGTTGTAGGGTACATCCTAGACGGCATCAACATCATGATTTATTGGCACATGGTCATTGTGATTTTAGATTAAATGTTGGAAGGACTAGTAAATGTATTGATATTGAACCGATGGGTCAAAATCATACTAATCTGAGGTATGTTTGCGTTGTATGTATAGGTTATAGGTGTATTAAGGTGGTAAATGTTAAGTTGACATTATGTTGATAGGAAGGGGCTTGGCTTTAAACCTGTGGAATACCTTCCAGGACACCATGCTTGCCCGATACCACGGCCGCATCGAGATCCGCGGGCCTTTGAGGCGCATAGCCGCTATTTCGCTCACGCGGGCAAGGAGAGGATCTTGGCGTTTACGGATACTCCGGGCAGACCAACGTGAGATCCAAAAGAACCATTTGGGTGCCTCCTTTCTGGGCTTCTTCCGTCAATTTGCAGAGGATGCAATCGAGCAGACGGCCCTTTTGGGCAAATGAGCAATTCGGATGGCGGCGCGGGTTTTCAGGCACAAACTCATGCTTTGCTCATACTTGTGGAACAATTTTAAGTGCAAAGCAACACACTGTTTCTGAAGCACATATACAGCATGGTCAAAAGTAAAAAAGGTGAGCAACAAAACAATGTTAGGGTTCGTTATAGACATGTTGCCTTGCGGCCTGTTTGGATTGCTTCGGTTGGATGCGAACTGTCTCTTAGTTCTTGCTGCTCCACAAAGTGGTGAGAACGCCATAGACCGTTTGCCTAGGCTCCTTTTGTGCAGCCGGAAGTGGTTGATTTAACTTGTACGGGTGCAAGCCCAACGCAACTTTCTTAACAAATAGGGGCCCCCTTCCCATGGTGTCGGAATTTGGCCGTAGAACCCAACTTTCCACAAGTGGTGTGGGTGTGTGTGTGTGTGCGAATCATTTTTGGACATCCAAAGACTGGAAATGAACCCTTGCTTGGAGAGTGCTTGAAACAAAACCAAGCGCACTTGCGCAGTGGCAGCTTTCTCTGTATGTCCGGTGGGTTCCCCACGAAAAAAGTGGACCCCACAAGGCGGTTTTTCCTGCTTGCTGTTGTTTTTAGCCAGGGTCACTGGGCAACTGGGCCCAGGAAGCCACAAATCATGTTTGGCGGCCTTTTTCTTTTGTGGGGCTGGCAATTCTGAAAGTACACTTGACTCCTCCAAATCCAGACTCTGACTTTTCAAGGGAACCTGGGAGGACTACTTCCATGGGGGTCCAAACATGTTTAATGATGTTATGTTTCTACCTTAGGGGTTGGAGACAGCAAAGAAAAGGAGGCTCCACACTACCAATTTCAAGAGGAACCAAATTGCAATTCAGTTTGGTGTGTTGTTTGTGATGTTTCACAGGAAGCCGACAGTACTTTCCTCTAGAATGCGCCGCAGTTCGGCTTGACTCGTTTGCTCTGCCGAACGGCGCATTCGGCCAGTTCGGGGCTCAAGGGGGGCATAGCGCCAGGCGAGGTACGGAATGTGTCCAGCGTCAGTTCCTGAAAGCCTGCTCAAACTTGTCCAACGCTTCTTTTTCGACAGTCGCTTAGAAAAAGTCGTCACATACTGATCGCTTCTGAGGATCACGTACTGCAGGTTGCTCTTTAACAGGGCGGCTGATCTAGTTGGTCACTCCCGGAAAGCTGGAACAAGTCGGTCCGAAGAAGCGCGCAACCTTTGCCCTGGACTGTCGACAGCATAAACAGAGTTCCATACACGAGCGGTACCGTTCAGGGCCTTCCATGTTGCGCAATGTAATGAGCACACCTGGTGGGTAAACGAGCTTACTCATGAAGATCCTTTAGGGGGATCCCTTATTCTTGCAGGTGGATTGCCAATCGGCCCACATGGGTGTTTCTCAACACCTGTGGTCCCATAAACGCTGGGTTTCCTCATATTTTATTTGCCAACCAAAAGGAGGTCCATTTTCAGAACCCCCCACATCTTCCGAGCCCAGAAGCGCTTCCAAATGGGGCGTGGTCCTCGGGCCAGCCACCACGGTCAATCCAACCCGCGCACATCCAACCAACTTTCCCAACCAAAAATATGGCTGTGGGTCAAAACCAATGGTACCATTTTGGGGTAGGTGCGCCGCTCATTTTGGTCTATTTATGTAGTGGGGATTGGGATGTTCACTGGGGGTACGGGGTTTTCACCCATGGCGATATCACAAATGGATTTTTGGGAGACAGTGGGGAGTTGTCAGCAAAACGTGGACAGTGCCATTTGCTTTCACCCTGATGCAACACGGAGCGCAAACAGTCTAAAACGGGGGTCGGATACATTCCGATCCTAAAAGATTGACCTTTTATTGCCAGGTTTAAAAAAGACGCAGGTCGGAAATTTGGAGACATGTCTTTGCACCTTTGAGCAGCATGGACGAGCCATTCCTGGAGAGCGAGAGCCGTTGCCGATGCTGCCAGTGCTGTGACGTGCGCCTCTGCCGGCTTGTGGCTCTTGTGTGCGACTCGGACGGTGAAAGTCTAAGTGGGGTTAGTGGAATATAACTTTACATGTAATTTGCAACCACTGTATTCTGTATATTTTGTTCATATATATATATATATGTATATATATATATATATATTTATACAATATTCACCACTATGTACATATATATATATATATTTATATAATAGCCACTATAGAAAGGGTGTATACCGGCTTGAAGCCGTTGGAACATCCGGTTCGTGGGATTGGTGGAAACCATCTTGGTTTGCCATTTGCACAAGTGAGGTGCCGTTGGTTTAATTTTGTCAGCCCCTTCGCAAATTTGCAGGTCCCTTTCATGAGGGTTCCGTACGTTCATAATTTGCCCAGCTGGGAAATCCGCGGGTGGCCAAAACGTTTTGGAGGTAACGTGAAGATTTAGTCTTGAGCAAATGACCAGGGAGAGCCTTTCAGCGGGGGTGAAGCCCTCAAATCATTACGGAAGCCAAAAGCCGTGATGTTGTGGCTCTTACTGCAGGAGATGTTTCTCTAGAAGCAGACCTCGGTAATTCTGCTGCTGTGGGCGAAGCGCAGGCTATGGTCCTGCCTAGGATGAGCGAAGGATAAGCCCCTAACAAGGTCTTACTCAGCATTCAATTGCCCCCCAGTTCGCTCTTCCGAGATCTACTCTCAACCCATGTGACATAGGCGTCCTTCCTTGACTTCCTTGACTTTGCAGGAGTCAACTCTTGCTCGTTGCTACAGTCGTCAGTGATGGTACCCAAAGACCCCGGTTGACCCAATGCGTTTCGGCGGCAAGCTTTGCCTCCGACGTCTGAGGGTTAGGTTGGTTTTTACAATTTTGCGGCTGGTACCAGCTTGAAGCAGCGCTTTTTTTTTGTTCTTTCTCAATGTTGCGGCTGGCACGAGTAGGGTGAGGGTCCCTGATGTCTTGGTTTTGTCCAGCTTGGAGCAGCAGAAGCCATGTGCTACGGTTGATTCCCCGGACTCAGGGGACCGATTCCCCCTTCCCTGACCCCTTGCGCCCAGATGAGGCCCTTCTAAGGAATCTTTCTATCTCCCAGTTAAAAAGAAGGAAGGATTACTCCCCTGCAAATTAGCGCAGAACTCAAAGGGGGGGTCCACCAAACAGATATGTTTCTGCAAATGAGTGCTTTTCTCCTGCAGGAGAGTAAAACACAGAGCTGTCCCAGCATTTGGTAAAGTTCAGCGGAAGCATCAGGGGCGTTGGAGCCCTGTCTCTGGAGGGACCGCCATGGGAGGTTGAGAGGCCTTCAATTCCGAAGACAAATGGGGGAGTCCCAGATTCCTTAGACAGGTCGGGTCCCAACTTCGCGAGTTGACAGGGTTCCCATTTTCTCACTCGAGTTCATAGACTGTAGTCACTTTTGGGGTCTGGACCATTTGTGCGGTAAAAATGAAAACAAGTTCGGGCCTTTTTTGTTGGGGCCAATCCACCCAGGTGAGAATTCAAATATGCCATGACTGCCTTGAGGCCTGTTCTCTTGGGCCTTTTGGATCGGCGTCACGCGGAACCTCTACTGCGAGCCCTCGGCTCTGGCAGATGTGGAGCCACCCTTCAAAGGGGAGCTCCTGCCCAGGAACTTCACCCTGGTGGAGAGGAAGTATTTGCCCCTCGGTTTCTCCTGGCGTTATCTGCATATATGTATGTATGTATATGTATATATATATATATATGTGTGTGTGTTTATGTATACATATATACATATGTATATATAGCGGGAGTTGTGTTTATAAGTGTTTCTCTTCACTGCCCTTGGCATGTGTGTTGTGCGTGTTCTTAACTGTCCTTGACATGTTGTGTTGGGTCCTGGGCGATTTTAGACACAGGCATCTGAGCTTTAGCAGCTAAAGCCAATCACGAAATTCAGCAAAGCTGTTCACGCTTTTTCTTTTGGATTCTCTTCGAAGCTTCCTTCAGTTTCTCTTTGTAGTCGTTTTGCTGGGATGCCAGCGTGCGCGTTCCGCTGGCATTGCTTCCAAGCCCCGCCCTGCCGTCGGGCCAGGTCTCCTGGCAGCCCGCCCACTGTCCGTTTTGCCAAGCTGGTTTGCATCACTTGGTGGCTCCCAGCCATCCCCTTAGCCTTTTAGCATTTTAGGGTTTAGTGGTAGTTTCCATTTAACCCATAACTTTTAGCGGGGGATCGGAGAGCAGCCCAGATCAGGTTACCCTGAAAATTGGACGTTTGGGGATTTGAAGCCTTGTTTTTTTTTGTAGAGGGTAGATGGGAAACCCTTCCTTAACCACAAAACAACCAATCCAAACCACCAAACATAATTGGACAAATACTGATTTTGCAGATGCCTGAATAGGGATGCCCCAGGGCAGAGTATAGTTAGATGGACAGGAAAAATCCGCTACTGGACAACCGTGTTGCATTCTGGACCCGTTGTGTAACACCCAGCACCGCTCCACCATGCAAGGGTGGTTCGCAGTTTTTGGAACATTTTGTAACACACCAGACCCTGGCCCTCTTTTCAGGGCAACCAAACGATACCAAAAGAACAATGTTGGTTTAAGCAGCTAGAAACATCGGCCAAAACTCGGCTGTGCCTACCTGATTCACCCATGGCCGACCAGACGTGGGTTGCAGACAGCCTAGGGTCCAAATAAATGTATGCCTTCTGGAAAGGAGCGTTCCATACCCGCGTCCGGGCCTCCGAAAACTGCAAAACCCAACGTTTGGAATCCAATGTTGCAGTTTCATGTTGCCAGTTGGCAGGAAAGGGGGGGGGTCCTTGCCTCAAATGGGGTCGCGAAAGCGGGGGCTTTGGAAGGGTTGGAGTGCGCCACTCTTCAAGGCCTAGAGTTAGAGATGGTTGGGATGGCACGT